AATTAATTATTTACCGCCTAAATCCAAGGATTGTCTTTTCAAGTAAAAGTTAGGAGTGCACGACTAGGAGATAAACTGAGCTTCAGTCAACCAACTCATACATTCATAAGGAGCACATTATACCGGTCTGGCTGTCTGTGTTAACGAAAACCATTTCGTGGCTAATGGAACTAGGAATACCCTCGAATGATTAGATGTAAATATATTTATTCCCGATATGCCTACAGTGGTGCAGAGAAACTACTTACATCTTATATAATAATATCGAAATTATATGAACCCAATATGAAAGTTACTACTTAAATTCTTAACATATCTTTATAAAAATCCTCTAACTTCTAACTGACTGTCAAGCTTAAAAATTAGCCAGAATCTTTAAAATGAATAATTAGACTAAAATAATTTTTTATTTATTTTTTGGGAACTCTTCCAAGACAATTTAACACATACATAAATGCAAAATGCTCCCAAGATTTCACTGTTTTATTTAATTTTGAATGGTCTCTTAAAAAATAATCCAAATTTATATTTCAGATGATATCAAACAAAAAATAAATATTAAAAAATCTTTTCAAATGTTTGCCACACTCTGCTGGCAGAGGCTCTACTGTGACTATCCATCGGTCATGACACAAGCTCAATATGATTCACTTCATGAACGAATATAAATGTTAATTTGACAATGATTAACCTAAGCTGGTATATAAATTCCCAGTACCGTTTATACAACTTAATGATCCATAACATTTTATCTTGATGGCTCGATGAATATGTAAGTCAATCATCTAAAGAAGATCGGTATAAAAATTGTTCAGTCACTTAACTATCGCCAGTTTGAAGTTTACAATGACTCTACTCGGGACGTATTTATTGTGGATATTAGTTCAGCTTTCAGTTGAGCAAGTAAGCCTATCTTCGCAACAAAATATTGGATGTATCCTGGATGTATTTATGTATTTTCACATAGGTACATATGAATGGGCTACCCGTTATAGAATCAGTGGAGATAAACTGCGATCACGACTATGTGGAATATTTCAAGAAAGTGCCTAATCAAGATGAGCTCTATACGTTTCGCGTGGTAAAGAAGGCTGCATCGTTCACCATCAACATTGAGCTGCGCTCTGTGAAATCTCAACGGGTATTGTACGAGCTAAAAAGGGTAGATGGCTGCCAGTTTTTAGAAAATCAGTTTTATAAGAAGATGTTTGTCGAGAGCTACAATACCTTAGTGGTGAACAACTCCTTCTTTAAGTGCCCGATTGCCCCGAAGGTTTACTACCTCAAGAATTTAACCAATGCCCTGATCTCACCGACTTTCCATCCAACTGGACATTATCAGGCATTCGTTCAAATAAAAATGGCTGAGAGTCCGTCTCCATTCATTATGGAAATTCTCTGGAAGTACAAAGTGCGTGCGGCATAAATAATTAAGATCTTTATACATTTGTCTTTTGTTCGATTATCCATTAATGCGATCAATGCATTAATTATTGTAGTCATTGTCAGTGAACAAAAAATGGGAGAATTAAAAGTGCTTGCGTCATACCGAATTTATAATAAAGTTAATCCAAGCTATTATAAATATTAAAAGTTAGTTTTGACCAAATATGTTTTCGACTGACAGAAGCTGGACAGAGCAAAACAGATAATTTATTCATTTCTATCAAACGTAACATTCGTAATGATGAAGTTACAAATATATAAAATAAGAAGAAGAAAAATTGTAAAAGAGCATAAATCATTTGTAATAGAGGACTTTAAAGCATTTCAGACCGAATCGAATCAATAATCCCTTCAGCTTAAATGATTAAATATGAACAATTGTATGAATATGTTTTATCTATTTTTGTACCGATAACATTATCCACCTATCCAATGAGGGAAAGCTTTGTAAACAAACGAAAATACCATTGAAATATTTATTATTTTTTACTTATATATGTGTGTATATTTTATATAATATTGTCATTAGCAAGTGCATATCTATGTGTATCTATTATGTATGAATTTATTGAAAATCTGAATGAAAGGCGACTTTAAAAATATATCGAAAACGTTTATTCAGCATTAAAACTTGGCATTTTGGAGTGATTCGTTCTAAGTGCACATCTGCTGCTGGCCACTGGACGCCAGGGCTGTTGTCTGCTGCCTGCAGCATGTCCACTCGAAATTGATAAATCTACATAACAATTACGATGCTGGTTAGTATTAAAAACAATAACGGGGCGAACTTGCACAACGGCAATGGCCATAGCTATGGCTATGGCAGTGTCCGTCATATTTCTAACAATGCGTTCGCATCTGCACAAAAAGGACTTATCTGCAGGCAGAGCTCTTGTTGCTGTTGTTGTTGTTGTTGTTGATTTTGTTGTTGTTTGGCATAGCATTTATGCGCCTGTTTGCATGGCGTTTTGTATGTAGGTCAACATTTGCACGCTGTATGACTGACGTCAACATGGATGGGCCAGCACAGTCCGTTTCCGCTTCCCGTGTTTATGCAATGTTGCTGTTGTTGTTGTTGCTGTTACGCCTACACCTCGTCTACCAGGGACGCCATTGTTGTTGTTGCTGTAGGCTTGTCGCTCTGATTATTCCTGCCGTTATGACAAATGCCCACACTACACGGCGAGCAGCAGCTGACCAGGCAGCCTATATGCCTAGCTACATATATAACTGTATATATGTACAGTGCTGCATAGATATATGTGCATACATAGTGCATGTGTAAAATGCATATAGTAACTGTGTGTGTGCGTGTGCGTGTGTGTGCGTCGCAGCATCATCGATTTTTATTTTTGCGTGCTTTTCAAGCGCTTTGTTGCACTTATTTGCGCTGTCATTGACAGCAGTTGCCACACATATATGTCTGTAGCATACTTTTTGGGGCGTTGTCCGTTGCATTTAATTGGTATACACGCTTCTTCGCACGTCAACGCAATGACCATGTGTGTGTGTGTGTGYGTCGCTGTGGATGTTTGCGTGTGTCGCAGACTCTTTAAAATTGTAAGCGAATGCCACAGCCACCCTGCGCAGTGCCCCTTCGTACGGCTGTGCTGTGCACTTCAAAAATGCAATCGTCAACGCGTTTCACATGTTATTTAAACATTTTTTCTGGCCTAGCCCGAACTCCTTTGACAGCTTTGAGAACCGCACATACACATAATTGCAGCCTTGAGGCTTGAGTCTGGCTCTTAGCTTCTCAGCCCAGCGTTTTACCTTTTTTTATACATTGTTGATTGTTTATTGATTTTTGCATGCCACTGTGAATATATTTTGCATGTTTTTAATGACTTTTTGCCAGGCTGTTACTTCATTAAAATGAATGCCATAAAAATGTTGCATTTCCCATTTTGCTTTTCACTTCTTTTTTTCGAATTGCGCTCAAGTGGGTCGGCCCTTGAGCCGAGTTGTCGCTTGGCTAAAGGGATTTCAATAAACTGATAGGCAGGAACATCTTTTGTGTAGTCTGGCATAAAAGAAATCATATACATCATTACAATATTTATTTGCGCTCACTCTTAACCTCCGCCAACAACATGTGGGGCTGTGTTTCCAAAGACAAAGAAACGCAGCAGCAGGAGCAGTATCAACAGCAGCAGGAGCAGCAGCAGCAGGAGCAACAGCAGCAGCAGTAACAACAACGTCAAGTTGTGAGTTGTAAGTCTTCTGTTCTGGGCAGGAAGCACATTTGCATGTAACACGTGAGTTCACAAAGGCAAGTGACATTGTTTGGGGGCTCGTGGGTCGCTGCCTGGCACACAAATTAAAGTGAGAGTGCAAGTGCGTGGTAGGGCTGGCTTTTGGCTCAGCATACAGACAGGCGCAACCCCTCAGCCCCTCAGCCCCTCAACCCTCCAACTCCTCTACGTGTCAACCCGAGTGCAAGGGGCAGCAAGGAGACATGCGCCGCACACATGACAGCACACAAATAGCCCGGGCGAAACAGCAGAGCTACATGCGGATGAGGCGCTGTTGATGCCGCTGCACGCCTCAGCGCACACAGCAAATTATGCGAAAAGCATTTGCAGCTTGCTAAAATTTCTGTAATTCCATATTAAATGATTGCACAATTTTAAATACTCAATACGTTCATCCATAATCTATGTCATTTACATATGAGAAAATTTGCAATGGCACAGAATAACAGCTGATCTAATAGATAACACTCCATAAAGAGATACTTTCCCTATACTGTCGTCTATCTATCTAACTACCTGCTTTATATATATCTTATAATTAGTAGCTATTGTTTTGTTAACTTCACTTAATAGAGACCTTTCAATTCAACAAAATTAATTATTATAATTATTTTTTCTATAACCCTTTTACTGAGTTTCAATTAGTTGCTAAGCATGTGGAGTCCAAAAGTTGGGGGAATAAACTTTTCTACAGTTGACTGATTTCATTTGAAATTGTAGTCTAAGCAATTGAAATTGTGATGCTTTTCATTACTTAAGCATTTAGCATGAGTGGAATTAATTTGAAATCAAAGCACGTTGATAATAATCAAGTGAGTATTCAAGTTATTCTCACAAAAACAATAAATTAATTGAGCAAGTGAACAAGCGAACAGCGAACTGTAAGCAATCCATTTTGAGATATGAGCATATAGTACTAGCACACAGACCACCTTTCCGAAACGTGTCAGAGGTACGCCACACTGAACTAGCTTTCTACTGCAAACGACACTCCCCCTCTATGCTAAGAAGGCTCACGAAACTTAACTTGATATACCCATCACTCTTGCCAGTTGCGACTATTTCATCTAGAGATAAATAATTGAGCTTTCATGTCTTCAAATAATTTCTTACACCAGCAAACAACCAATATTATAGTCAAAGTCTCTACTTAGCAAACTAGAAAAAAGTGTATGATAAATAATAATTTATCAGAAAATAATATATTGTCATATTCAATATTTGACTTTATAAAAGTTGGCTGAAGTTTTCTGCTTTTTAAAAATCACTCTGAGATTTGAAATCTGTAATCTGTTGACGGCCATCTCTGCGTATAAACATTTGGCCGACATTCTGATCAGCACAAAAGCGGCTTAACACGCACTTTCCATTCACGCATACGTAAACACACACAATGTACACAATACATACAGCACACATACGCACACAATAAAGTGAGGTTGAATGGAGTGTTGCTTTTTCGCCCTATCATGCTATTTGCAGGCTTCAGGGAATATCATAATCACGCGTTAAGTAACGTTTTCAATTACTGTCCTGCTGCTGCATCTTGTGGCGTCCTGCACGACGTTGTCCTGTCCTGGCCTGCCCCGCCCTGCCTCGCCCCACCCTGTCGCTCTGACTGCCACTCAAAATGTCTCTCAGCTCTAACCACATAAAAAACTAATCAACTTATTTATGAACATTTGCGGTGTACAAAAGGAGCGTGCAGAATTGCGTATTCCGGCCAGCCAGAGAGTAAATAATGTTAAGGACGCAGAAGCACAGTCCGTGCCAGTAAATATACTTAAGGAAGCAGCCGCGAAAAAGGAGCGACGCATTACCAGCAACAAAGTGGAGAGTGGAGAAATGTCGGGGAGCAGTTTATAATTTTTCAGCTAACTGAAATTACATTTTATGCGAGCCACAGACGTGAACAGTCGTAGTTTGCACACGCCCATAAAATATCGAAGGATTGCTCCAACTGCGGCGCATTGATCAGCCTCATGCAAACACTCGCCTCACCCTCCCAGAAGGTTTTGGGTTGGCCCTGCCTCTTGACCACAATTTAGGCCACTTACATTACGTATTGCGTCCCAGTGACCATGTGCGACCATAAATGCCCGATGCTGTTCAGTTTATCAGCTACGGCGCGTGTGGGGCATATCAAAATGGCATTGGGACTGCGAGTGACGATGTTTTTATGGCTGGACAAAAGCCTTTTATGTTAGCCGGGGGCAAGTTTTATGATTTCTTTCCTTTTTTGAGGCAACTCAAAAGGCGCAGATCCTCGTATCGATGGGCAGCCGTGAATCTGGTGGGGGCTGGCCGTGGGGCTATGGGCAAGTAGGCCGTGCTATTCGGCACGTTAATTAGTCATAATTACCCGTACAGCTTTTGAGCTTTGTCAGCTGCCTTTTGTGCGCCGTCACGCCTCTGATTTATGGCCAGCAGCGCGCTTAAAGCCCCACAGCTTTAACTCAAGCGAAATTGCCACATACTTACGAACACACTCACACATACCAGCACACCCTAGCCCACTGACAGATCTAATGCGTGTGCTTAATGATTTGGAATTGATTAGAAGTAGCCCGCAAGCAAAACAGAACGCAAAAGCCATACAATAATATATCAAGCCGATTGCTGAATACCCTTGTCAACATGTATTATAGGAGTTGTAAACTGCTTATATATAGATAACTCATATATCAATATAATTCGTATATATTGTATGTATATATTAGATAAT